GGCAGGCGCTGCCCGGCACCGCGGCGGCAGAGCGGTACTTACTGAAGGGGCAGTTCTCTTTCTTGGTGCCGCTGACCTTGCCGTTCTTCTCGATCTTGAGAAAGTACTTGTTGTAAGAGTAGAGCTTCCTCTTGCGCACGTCTCCTTGGAGGTGATTGTAGCTCCGCACGTGTCTCCCCGCACTGGAAGGAGAGGAGAAGGACGAGGGGAAGGAGGAGGATGATGAAGAAGAAGAGTTGGTGGCCTCCGGGGACAGCATGTCCTGGCCGAGGTCATGGCAGGTGACAGGCACAGAAGACACCAAGAAGAGCAGCAGCAAGCAGCAGCAAGGCAGGTGGGAAAAGGCTGAGGCACCATTTGTCAGTATCCATTTGCACATTGTACTGAAACTCTGGGCGCTGGAAAATGTCTTATCAAATGAAACATACTGGAAGGGTAAAACCTGGTAAAAGGCAAGTAGAGAGCCGGTGGTTGCTGCTTCTGGTTAGATCCCTCTGAGCTCTGATCTGGCCTGAAGTAAGTGCACCAACATCCATAACTCAGGGGACAGATCGCCTCAGAAGTTGCTGCCTTTTAGTCCTTCGAGTCCTCCCTCAGAAAAAAGAGCTGTTGGGTTTTTTTGGGGGGGGTTGCTGTGGTTAATCCTCTTTCCTTTTTCTCTTCCCCACCCACCCCCCGACATACACACACACACTCCCCAACCTGGTTTGAGACTTCTCAGTAGTTATTTTGTTCTCTTCCTCACTCCTTTCTTCACCATCTTAGATGCAGAAAGGTCTGAAAAATAGATGACAGCAAAGTGAACAACAACAAAAATAAATAATAACTAGCAGAAAGGGGTGCTGGAAAGGATTTTTCACACGTACCCCTTTACACACACACACACTCACACTTTGTGGCTTTGCACCTTCTTCTGCTCCCCACCCCCTTGCCTTTTTGCAAATCCCAAACCAGTTGCACAACTCGTCCTTTCTCGCTGACAACCCCAGAGGAGGCAGTTTCTTTGTTTTGCTTTGAATTCTCCAGAACAGTATTAAAAAAAAAAAAAAT